GGGAATGACAGTAGTTGCTGTGCCTGTTAGTACATGTTTGGTTTAAGAGCTAGGAGATTGGGTACCTTTGCCTGGGTTCTTGGTCGTGAACTGTTTCCAAAACTTGTCAATCGCTTGTTGAGGCGTGACTTTTGATCTATCACCGAGATCAGCGACACCCGACGCAATCTCGGCAAACGACGGGCTTGCGGAGGAAGAACTAGAGGAAGAAGATGAAGGCATCTTGCTTGGCTATCAAATCAAGAACAATCATCAAGATAACTCCTCACTAAAGACAGAAAAGAGAATGAAAAGAAGGACAGGAGAGGAGGAGACATGCTGACCTTTTATCCTCATACAATCATGCACGCTGAGAAACAGCGCTTAACGACATCTCAGCTTTCAGCCCTGTAAGCGGCCAACTCATCAAAAGACCCCTAGATGCAACACTCATCCATGCAACAGAGTAGTGAGAAGCAAGATGTAACCAAAACGGGCGTCGCTCTACCCGCCCGTTTCTGTAGCTGTGTCCAACGACGATAGAGCTTGGCCCCCAAAAGTCCCATTTTCACGGGCCGTGATACCCCTGTAGCGTGCCCGCATGTCAGCCCACCTAGGCTTGTAGGGCTGGGGAAGGAGGGGGAGGAGACTGGTGAGTGGTTGTTGGTGATTACGTTTGAGGATCCCTGTTTTTTGCGGCTGGATGCATACACGGGGCGTTGATACTGTATTGGAAGGTCTTGGAGTGATGCCAAGTTGAGGGTGCATCTTGAAGGATTGTCGATAAGTTTAGGCTTCCTTTTAATGTTTCAGTTTGCATTTATGAGTGTTTGTTTCGTTTAGTATTGAAACTCTCAATTTATTGGTTTGAGCTGAGGATGTTGATGAGTTGTAGCAAGCCACCCTATACTATTCACATGCACAACAACAAACGTAGACAAACTAATGAAACTACTGTAGACCATGCATGTTCCCAACCTCAATATGTGACATGTCTTGTAGTTCAGGTGAGTACGTAACGCATAATTTGTTTGCCCTCGTTTGACCCATCCGCTATCATCTCTCGCCAGTGTCACACAGACGAAAGCAAACCGAGGATAAAATACACAAGACAAAGTCCTACTCTGAGAAGATGCATCAGAATCGACCCATGCTAAATACATTTCCGATGATCGATCTTACTATACCTCATTTGTCAGCCGGACAGACTAATTCCCCAGTCCCACGCCAAGCCAAAGATGCGAATGACTACATCATCGAGACAATATCGCTCAACAGCTGCATATCATCTACCCTATCGCAGCTAAGCAGCCGCAGCCTGATTTTGAGCTCAACACTCTTCCCATATCTATAGCCCCCAACCCTCAGCAAAGAATTTCGCAATGTCGTTCATCAACTCCATCTCCGACTTGCTCCCACGGCCATGGACCCCCTCAGCATCGCCAGCGGTGTAGCAGGCCTTCTCACAGTCTCAGCCGCCGTGATCAAAACCTTCGACACCGTCAAAACCAGCATAGAGAACTGTCCTCGAACAGTGTTCTGGGCACACGCTGAGACAAAGGAGATCAACTGGGCGATTAAACGCCTCAAGAGTTTGATCGATGATCCGGATTCGGTGCCGAAAGCGGCGAGGATGTCGGTTGGCATTCATGATGCGACTGTCACGATAAGCGAGTTGATCAAGACGTGTGATCATCTAATCACTACGCTGAAGCCGTTGAATGAGGACGGGAAAGTTGTTTTGACGAGATGGGATCGGGTCAAGTGGTTGAGGGTGCAGGATGACGTTGTTAAGTATATTCGGCAGCTTCAAGCGCATAAGGGATCTGTTACTCTCATCTTGAACATTCTGCAATGGCAAGTCTCATCCATCTTCGACATTGAAGACGCTAACAAGAAGAAGCGAGTCAGACGTGGTTATCGTGGAATCACAGCGCGCGCTGGAACTCAAGATTGATGCAGTCCTCAATAGCAGCGAAGCAACCCAGAGACGAATCGAAGGCTTGGAAGCGCTTTTCAACAAATTCATCGCCGAAAACTCCACCCTTATTCCCTCGAATAGGTCTTCCATGGCCCCGACATTGCATCGCTGGAGAGAAGATGACGCGACAGAAACTGATTCAGTAGCGACATCGCGGAAGTACGACCCAGATGAATGGGACGGCTTTCACGCGAGCGCAGAGCGGTCACTCAGTTTCCCAACTTCGAGTGCACCAGAATTAGAAATGCCAAAACTCAAGCGCTCAACTTCAGCGGAAACTTCGATGAAGAGTGAGAGTAACGGCACGACTTCACCACCATTTCGAGAGTTCGAAGCAACGCTTGAGAAAACTAACGTCTACAAGCGCGTGTACAACTCGACAGATGCTTTCTCAATACACTCTACCCACGGTCGCTCCATGACAGGCTCAGTGATGACCAGCTTCAGTCTCGCCGACGACTCATCCATCCTGTCAGCCTTTCCAATTATGAGCAGGACGGAACTTCAACACCCCGAGTTTTACACACAAATGAGTGGCAATCAACGCATATCCCGAGATCTCATGAGAGCCATCACAACAAGAAGTGTTGTAAAGTCCCCCGTGGAACCACCTCCAGGCGCACCGTTCTCTCTGAAGCAGTTCAGATCGCCCCCAAACTGTGGTGAGAACGTGATGGGGCGATGGCATCAATCCCGAACCAAAGCCTGGCGACCCAAAGAGTTTAGAACAGAGATTCAATTCGAAGTCCCCGTTATCTTTGTCACTACTTCAAAGATCGACAAGGGACCTATTGACGGAGCGGATGTGTTTTTCATTGACGGCACTAGAAAGAGTCTTGATGATACATGGACTGATCTTGAACCACCACCTACCGGTACATTCACCAAGACGGGTCGCTTCATTAAGAATGAGCGCGCAACTTGGCTTTCGCTGCTGTCAAGCTTGCAAAAGATGGAAAACGAGTCGCAGAATTGGACGAGACAGCAGATCATGGGCTTGAGGCCTCGACCAGCAAGTGCGACAGCAATACTCACATCCATCGCTGGCAAACACACGCTCAACGTCGCTCTTCAGCGTGAGAAGAAAAGCTGGGATGACATGCCCCCATCAATCAATCGCCCCTACGCAACTACATCGATGAGCAGCTTGATAGAAATGCTCGCTATGCTGGGTATATACTGGAAAGACTTCAACACTTTCCATCACGTGTATCAAGCTGAAGGCAACGGATTTCTCGTCAAAGGTCACAAGATCAGTGGACTTGGCATCATGTTCCACTTTCAAGCGTTGGAGAAGGCTGTGTTCGAAGGGAATAGGACGATTCCCACGAAAGCAGTGACAAGACTTGCTTTTGGACAACTCCCTACGATATTTACTGAGGGATATCCTGAGTACAAGAGTAGTAACACGCTGTATGAGTGGCCGAATGTTGGGCTTGGAAGTAGGACAGAGATCGCGGAAACGTTGTCTTCGTTTGGATGTGGACGGAAGGCGGTTAATTACTTTTTAAGAGATGGAGCTGTGACATCTCACGTATTCCCAGGTAAGCTCTCATTCTGCGGTCCAAATCGGCAGTACTAACATATTTAGTCACTTTTGAGCTCATAGGCATGATCGGCCAAGTCTTTCACATCAAGGATCTCTGCTTCAGATATATCCCCAACCCGTGCTACTGTGTCTGGAGCACGAGAGGCTTCTCCCTCCCCAAGTTACTGGCTGCGTATCAGCATCATATCCAAGAAGATCCCGAAATGGCAATCGGACAGCTCTTCGTTCATGTGAACAACGTATTTGCTCCTAGGACAGGAATACGACCGGACGCTGGCACTCCGCAAAACTATACTTGGCAAGCACAGGATGCACTGCACTCTGTGCTCGACGAACTCGACGAATCACTCAAAGAATACTCTATGCCAAAGCATGGCAGTCCGCGAGCATATCTTGGACTGGAAATTGTTGGCGCACATTTTGAAGAACTTCTCTCCCAGATGAACAGCATGTCTTCCACGTCAGCATTCCCACGCTTCGAAGGTGCCAACGCAGCCAACAAAGAAGATATCCTAATGAAAGCATACTTCCAACAAATTCTCCCCGCCGTGTTGAGGTCAGCATCAATGACATTCTTCAATCTCAAGAACGCAGATTCCGAGTTCCAGGTCGTCAAAGGGGAAGCGGCACAGACGGCTGAGTATGCAGTGTATCTTCGTGCTGTGAAGGAAGTGTGGTGTACTTTTGTTTTGAGGATGATTTGTTGGCTCATGCTGCATGAATTTCATCGTGATGATGTGCAGATTCAGAAGGGGAATTTGTTTGGGAGTGACATGCCTGTTTACATCTCTTAGGGATGAGAGGTTCGATAGGTTCTTCATAGAGTGATTGCAGGTAGAATACGTAAAGAGATAGAAGCTCTAGTCTTTATTAACAGAAGACGAGTGGTATATGAGGACCTTGGAATATCAATACACGCACATGCTTTCTTTGCAACACCGTCTGTACCTTGACTTGAGATGAGTCCTCGGATGCTGGGCACCTTCTCAGCCAGCTTCAGTTACTTATAACAGTATTAATGAGACTAATCTTTCATTGGAGTCATTGGAAAGAGTCACTACTGAGGTGTAAACTCATACCTTTGAGGTTTTGTGGTGTACTCAGGATATTATTGTTGATAATTGAGTAGAAGCCCGTTAATGTTTATTTGATATGCAGTCTAAAGTATTGTTTCTCGACCCAACTTAAATCTGGAAGAACATGAGTTCATGGCTAAGCTTAACTCCTTAGTTCCGCAGTGTAACGCGTATGCAAAAAAGCAAAGCTGCGAGCCTCTGATTCATCGTCCACGCTCGCTTCATAACAAAAACTCTGCCTCATTTCATTCTCATTTCTTCTTTTCTCATCAACACCACGAACTCTGATTTCACCATTCACTCACTTGCAAAGATAAGGTGAGATAAATTAAGATTCTGGACGACAAGTTCAATTTTTTAAACACGACTCAGATCAGAACCTGAGGTTTCCAAGACGAAACCGCGCTCATGAAAGATGAGTGAGAGCCGCAGTCCAAGGCCAAAGCGAGCGGCTGCCTTAAGGGCAAATGAAAGGTTATTTGAACCGGAACTACTCTGGAAAGCTTTCGAAAAAGCCAAGCCACGGATGTGTGGACAAGCGGCAAAGAAGACGATTGAGGCCATGGAATTTCACCGCCAATGCCCAGATTACGAGTCCCCAAGCAAACATCTCTTTTACATCAGGATCAAAGGAAAAGGGCGAATAGACGATCCCGAATTATATTACTATCCTTATCTGTTGGTGCTCCAGGCCATATGGCCTTATAGCGAACACGTTCAAACCATTGCAAAGGCATTTGCCAGGTACTGGGGTGTCCCTGACATGTGGCGCGGCCCAAAGCATTATCCCATACTCAACGACAGAGACCGCGAAATGGAACTTTTCATGGGCCTGAAACCAAGAGAGACCGAAGCACGAGAGGATGAAAGTTCAGCAGGAAGTGGTGAAGACAATGAAGAAGACGAAGAAGACGTTAAACAAGAGAACGAGGAAGAACAAGAACAAGAGCAAGAAGACGAACAGGGGGAGGAGCAAGATGAAGAACAGGAGCACAAACAAGAACAACAGCTTGAAGGAGAGCAGGATGAAGGTGATGAGAAGCAGAAGGAACAGCAAGATGAAGGAGATGAGGAAACGATTCCCGATATTTCCGACATCGACACCATTACTGACATTGATAAACTCGACAGACTGGAGTCTATACTCGAAGTCAGAGAGAAAAAGTTTATGTATAAGATACAGGAAACAAAGGAACGGGTCCGAAAGGTTCAAGAGAGCAAGCGAGACCTGTACAGGAAGAAGTCCAGTGCCTCGAAAAAGGCCGCGGAGAGACTCCAGGTGAGGCTCGACGCAGAGCGCATGGTTTCTGACCACTGGGCCACCAAGGAAAGGGAGTATATCAAGAAACTCGAGCGATCTTCAGCCACGTCTTCTGTCATCTCTCCACCCCCTGAACAGGAGAGTGAACGTCCTGCCAAACGACAACGGGCTGCTGGACACAAGGAGTGAGCGATTGAACTGCGAGACACCCTCCCTGTCGTTTGCAGCAGCAAGTTTGACATTTGCAAAGTAGCAAAGGAAAACGATGCAGAATCGGTGAGACAGCAATTGTTGCCCAAAGTTTTGGCTGGATTTGTTGGTGGGACGGAAACCACTGGTAAAAGCGTTTGGTGAAAAGCAAGTAAGAAATGGGGTGTGATATGCAATGGGCATGATGTTGCCTAGCATAAATATTAAGATCAAGTTTGCAATTGTTCATTGTAGTGCTGCAGGAAACATGGTTGTGCAATAGTTTGTCTATTGTGAATGTTTGCTCTTTGCTTAGGCAGAAGGCAAGCTTGGACTATCTCAACAAGAAAAGACTTCAAACAAAAACAGGCTGGCAACTGGCACCCTGATACATGACCAATAGAAGGGGAACTTATCCTTTCGAACTCTATAAGTGAGGAACTTCCACGGCTACATCTAGCTCATATAGCGCAAAGGAGCTCCCATTTAACTTCAGTTCTAGAGCTATAGCTACCAAGGCTAGTAACTACTGCGATATGTATACCTGGCGCCAGCTTGTCGAGAGCCAAGACATAGTCGATATCGAAGTCGACAAAAGCTTCGAGACGCCCCAGCAGCTGAGAGTCTAGGCACATCGAGCAACAGGAAGCCGCCTGTTGGCCATTTCTTCGGCCTTCGATAATTGGGACAAGGTCAGGGACCTCGTGGTGGAGGAGTTCACCTCGATTAATCCACTTAAGAATAACCAGCTGCGACTTATGATGACCCTTCTCAAGTGGCTAATAGCCATCAGACCCCTGATCCATGAGGACTTGCCGAGTCTATCTGGTGATAGACTCATTCAAACCTGGCAGGAGATGAATGGAAGATCGCATCAGAGGAAGCCTAACCCGAAAAGAATTACCTGCGAATCCGGGAAACTATGGAACTACTATTCCTAATGAACCGGAAACTGTTCGGCAGTTTCACTCTGGTGGCAGTCTGCATGACAAGATCCATGACAATCCAGGAGGTTTTACCCGCAAAGACAAGTCGGTACTTGCCCGGTGTTATCTGGGGCGCAGTTGATACCACTGTGAGATTGCCTGCTATGTAAAGGTATTCGGCAACCAGAATGCCAAAGATGCGCGCAGTGCCAAGTTCGTACGCCACTTCAGGGTTACTGTGACCCAGACCAAAACGCTCTATCATGCACTTACAATTATTGAGCCGCCCAGTAGAAGCCTTCCGGTCGTCTCAAGGGAAATGCCCGCAAGGAGGCCAAGAAGTAGGCTGCTGGTAGTAAGAAAGAAACCGGTCAGAAGTACACCGTTGCTTTAGATCATTATGTCCTTATGGCTGAGCTTAATGTTTCTAAATCCGACCATTGGAACCATTTCTTCCTCTGAGATGATGAGCAAACTAAGACTCGTTGCGGTATACCTGGAGGCAACGATGCCACTAAGCCTGAGGGACTAGGAAAGTTTTTAACATTGAATCAGGATGCCAACATAAACTGATCTAAAGGCTTGCTAAGATATACTAAACTTACCTAAACTAAGTCTTTTCATCACTTAGAAACGAGGCTCCTTCTGGAGCTATCAGTAGACCAGCTAGCCAAGGAAGGCATTCGCTATACCGTCCATGTCCGGCGCCGGTCTGACTCTATAGATGGACCCGAGATCGTCGATTTCCTTTTCTATGAACTTTAATTTCCACTACGAGGAGCGGGCAGCCAACAACCCAGGTCTATGCGTCCGTACCGAACAAGGCTCTCCCATCGCCGTAACCAGGAAACGATGAAACAACAGATCGCCGCCCTCGAGCGAAACCGGCAACTCGCCTTCGCCGAAGTCTGTCGCGTAGACGCCACACACTGTCTTTCTCATAAGGTCCTTTCACTAACCTATATATGAGCTGAGCTCGGGATCTTCGACCAAGATGCCGCCCGAACCCTCCACGGCCGGGCTGTCGAGGCACTCACTCATCGGCAGCGTTCGCCAACGTTGGCTTCGACTAGTCATAGTTATATATAAACCCGATCTATCTGAGACGGGTCAAGAAGTAACGAACTGTTCTTTTCATCGCCGGATAGTCAGGGATCCTCAATATTATATATACCATCCTCCCAGAGCTCACCTCAACGAGTTCTCCTATGCAGCATACGCAGAGAACGAGGCAACAGTCGCAGAATCCGCCGCAGCCCGCAGTGTTCTACTAATCACCGGGACCAAAAACAAGTGATCATTCAGCCACGTCGGATGCTATGGATGGGTAAATGTCAACGCCAGCCCAGCGTGACATAGTGATCCTGGTCGCTGCTATTGTCAGGGGCCCTCCTACTGCCGAGAGCACCACAACATCTAACACCGCTAAGGCTTCTATTGTAAATATTATAACTACAGTGAGTTTTAAAATTACTAATAAATAGCTCAGTAGAAATACTTGAAATAATAAAGGAACTAACAGTTAGTCTTCAGGCCACAAGTCTATAGACGTTGACGCCGTTTCGCGCACTGGCACGGAGGGGGCCAGTCGACGCCAGCCCAGGACTCAAAAGATTGCACAAGGTTGATGAGATATGTGAATAAGTACAAACTCACTGTTGACTCGGATTCAGCAAAGTCGGAAAAGAGTCTGCATGGCTTCACTATTTGGAGAGCAGCTCCACCGACGACAGGCTGATACTCATCGGCGTCTTGACAGAGTCTATCGGTATTCTCCCTGTCACTATAGCCTGCATGAACAAAGGCCAGTTGCGGTGGCATTCGCATAGGAATACTGCTGAGGAGGACCAACAAAGGCAGTTTACAAGGACAGCGTCAATCCATACTTTGGACTCGACTCGACCATTCTCCATGATCCAAGAGGATGGGTTTGGTGCCTGTCATACCTATAAGTGCATTTACGATTGCTGTCAAATTGGCACATCCGTTATGAGCCTTTCACTTTCAGCCTGCCTACAATATAGCTTGTATTGAAACAATTTCTCGCCTTAAGTCGCTTTACAAACTGTCTTTTCTTGTTACCTATCATATCCAAGATGTATCTTGTCAGTTTACCCACAATGAAGCTCGAAAGGCTCTCTCCCTAATCTTCCAGGGCGGCAAGATCTTAGGCCTTCACAACCTGGACGGTATCTCAGCCGCTGGGAGTTTCCATTCAAATACAGAGAATACGCCGCGATATTCAAGAACAGTTGAAGGGCCAATCTTGCGCGCATATATATACTTGCGAGTGTCAACATATAATGAGCATGGTAGGTTGACAATGACGAATCTCATCTAACTGCCGTGAAGCCAACACACCAGGCACACGTGGGTCCTACAGCTATAGCTGAGGGAACATCTTCCTCAACGGCCACTGGGCCGGTTTCCAGCTCTGGGTTGCCAGTAAGACAGTTGAGTTTAGCCCCCTGTCTTGGTTGGAGGTAGGACCGCGTCAAGCTTCTGCAGGAGGAGAACCAATTCGTGAACGACCAGAATGATCATCTCCGTGAAAGCAACAACGAGCTCTTTATCTCCACGAAGAGCTCAAGGAGAGTCTGGCTGTAGCTGAGCAACGCTTAGAGCGCATAACCGACTTTTGGCGGTCCGCCGAAGAGGATCATTGGAGAATATTACTCTATTGAATAGCAAAGATACAATACTACGACATACGGTGCACCTATCCCTGACTCTACGGGGATGCTTCCTCCGCCATAACGCCAAGGCGCATCAATGAAACCGTGTGAGACCAGGCCAAGATTCAGGCGGTCAAGTTCGTCACGTTTGGCATAGGCCCTCGAGGGACGTTTCCCTCATTCTAAAAGGGCTTATACCACGAACACAATTCCAGAAGTTTCGATTCGTCATCCGGGAGATCTTGTGAATCATGGGGGTTTTAATGGACAGGGATATTTTGAGCTGCTCAAAATTGGTACTGCCACCACAGTCCCTGGCCCATCATCAGCCATGTCCCTTACCCCGAGGATTACCAGTTCTTCCTTCAAGTTGAGATACCTGATGGTACAATCAAGGACAAGAGCGAGTTCTTCGTTCAAGAGCGCTTGCCCTGACTCCTCTTTGCTTACTGTGTGTAAGCTTAGAGGCCGCGGCCACATTATCCAATTCGACATGTACAGGCCATTCATGGTTCTTGGCCGCCGACTCCAGAGCTCATGACATTACCAGATCATCTGTGGATATGGGAGTATCCGCTGCTATGTAGGACAGGAGGCAGCTGGTACACTCGTCAAGGCAATGATCCCGCTCAGCTAAGCGACATACACTACGCACTCTAAATGCGACCTAACACTACGACGACTGGGCAATAAAGAAGCAAAAAGAAAAACGAAAAAAGGACAAAAGAGTTTAAATGTCTTCTGACTCCCTAAGTGCCAAAAACTCAAGACGGCAAGATCTCATTCGAGCAGTAAGTGAATGGAGACAACCCGGAAAAGTTCGAAAGCTTTAGCCTTGATCACTACCGAGAACACTATGGCTATCCTGTCCAGCACACTAAGACTATACTATATATATTGGAAGACACGGCATTTCCATACGACGGGGGAGACCATTCGATTCTCAGAAAACTCCATTGACCTGCAAAGCGCGTCGCAGAAGATGGACGATATCTATATCTCCATAACCCTACAAATTTTCCGACTTCATGGAATTGTAGAGGAGAATGGGGAGGGCAAGTGGTGATAGACTCCGAAAGAAACTATGGGAGACTCTCTTTACGAGCAGATCGTGCAGGTTGGTATGAGGTAATATCTGTTCTGGATACACGATGATGGATATTGATATATTGAATCTCACCCTTCTCAGCTTCGCCACTGAGATAAACTCGAAGAACCTTATACTCTGATAAGATCCTGACGGGTTGATACAAAATCACCTCGCGAGGTTATTTTGACTATCCCTCCAGATGGATCTGATACCAAGACGACGACCAGCGAGATCGACTGAAGTGTATTGTAGGCAGATGCAGCACAAGACTGCCACGCTCAAGGAGAAGAAGGCGGAAAAGATGGAAAT